TCCCTCCCCCGTTCTTGTCTCACTCGCGACACTGACGTCATCCTGCACAAACCACCCCGATGGGACGAATGAATGAGGCGCTCATTGACTATGCATGCAGCCGGCGTGCGCCTGCACAAGCGGTCTCCGGCAAATTGACTGAGCCGCCGTGAGGCGCTTGCAGACGGAGCGAGGCGCTGCAATGGAAGCTAGTTTGGTCACAACCAAGCGCCCGAGGAGTATCGACGACATCATGATTTAATGCACCATTATAAGAATGTACCCGAGCAGCATTGATTGAACACCGTCGTTGCAAATGTGCCATATTCAGAATATACCCGAGCAGTAATCATTCACATTGCTATTAGCAATGCGCCATATTAATAATGTACCCGTGCAGCATTGATTAAACATTGCAATTACGAATGCACAATCTTACTGATCTCACCGTTTTTTTTTCATGACGTACAATAATTCCGACAGATGATTGGCATGCATTTGCATTCCTCTCAGAACCCTGACGCGCATCCGCGACCCGTCTCCCAGGACCTGGCTGGCTTCTGGGACATGCTGCAGCTGTCCATCGAGAATATCAGCCTCAAGTTTGACGAGTTGCACCAACTCAAAGCGAACAACTGGAAGCCTCTGACGCCCCTGGAGATCCAGGTGCCCCTTTTCAGCTACCGGCTTATTGTTATTATTATTATTATTATTTGGGAATGGCTAATGGCTGCTAACCTGCATGCTAGCTCCCACTGTTGTGTATGTTTGGATCAGGGTCGGTGATATCATTCGATGATGTTGCGATTCTGTTCCAAAGATACCGATTGGATTGCGCTACAGCAAAATAATTGCTTGTTGTCGACTGTGAGCTGCCATTTTGGTTTTTGTGGGCACCACAGACTAACTCAAGTTTTTAACCAAAAAATTAATAAAATATTGATATTGCGAAATAGCGCATTAATCGATATACGAGGGGAAATCATCACATTGTCATGCGACTAACCACAAGGAAACTTGAAAAAAATTGAGTATCGTGACATAAGTGACAATATTAATTTTGTATCAATGTTATACTTGTACTCTATTCATATTTTGGCTTTGCATGGTTTTGATTTTGATGTCCCTGCTTTTTGTTTTGCGCCTCGTTGTTGACAGTGCACAACCATTTTGAAGGGGTGAGAATTTGGGTTTGACCGATTTTTTTTTTTTTGCAAAAATCAGCCGGCCGGTTAAATCGGACGAAATTTGCTTTTTTTTTCCAAAGGAGCAAAAACCGATTTAAATTTTTGCAGATTGTTTTTTTCCCACATTAACACATTTCAAATAAGACAAACAACATTCTAACACCTCTCTCCTCAAAAACTGATTAAAACAAATCGGTAGATTTCTGCCAATTTTTCTCTGCTTGAAAGTTCAACCAAAAATGTCATTCATTATGTCTTTTTCAAATGTATCAATTAGTTGGTTGTCCGAATTTTATTCTGCCAAATATTGGAATATCGAAGGTATCAATATTTTGCCTCACCACCCTATTTGCATGTGTGTGTGCGAGCGCGCGTGTGTATGTGTGTTATTTTATTTATTTATTTATTTTTAATGGTTTACATTTTTTGCTGACGTCACTACTTTTGTCTTGTTGACAGTGAGCCGCCATTTTGGAGAGCCTGCCCATCTCCACTTGTGCTTCTTTTTTCGTTTTTGTTTTTTTTTTTTTCTTCACAAATGGCTGCCTACGTCCACCATAACACCACAAACATTCACTGCATGCTCCCCCCGCACCCCCCCTCAAAAAAAAGAGGTTATTTGCTCTACTTTTTTCAAATTTTTTTGGGCCCCTGGATGAGGTGGATACACCAGGCCACTTAAGTGTGTTTTACCACCTGTCCAGGAGAGACATGCGCCCCCTCCTGTGCCAAAGAGGTCCCAGAAGGGCCACGCCCCGCTGGCGAGGGACCGCTCTCTGGAGAGCTCCGAGCGGCAGCGTCTGGAGGCCCGCAAGCGCCTGCTCGCTGCCAAGCGCGCCGCCTCGGTGCGCCAGAGCTCCGCCACGGAGAGCGCCGACAGCATTGAGATTTACATCCCTGAGGCGCAGACGCGATTATGAAACACACACACACACACACGCCATGCGCGCAGTAGTAGCACTGGATGGTGAGGGTGCTAACGGACTTTATCACATCACTGTCGCCATGGAAATAAGTATATTTGGATTATTTATTGATTTATTTATCGAGCCCCCGTGCTCTCCCTCCCACCTCTTTCAGCTTTAATGTAGCACCCACACCTCCCTTCGAGTCCTTTCCCACCGCGCACACACAAACTCGCACTCTAATGATGTCTTATATCAGTTACAGAGCACCAGACATTTTTTTTTTTTAAATGTGGCCACATTATAGATACACTGGTGCCTTGAGATAAAAATGGAAATTGCTCTGTGACCACGCTCAAATCATCCCCCTCATTGAATGAATGGAAATGAGCCAACTTGAGTTCGAAAGCACTTCAAAAACACAACCATAGATGAATACAAAGCGCTGCGCATCAAAGAACCCGATTAACTTCAGTCGGAAGTCATCTCAAAGCATCACTGTACACTGTTCGCTAGCTATCTAGCATACCCAAGTTGTTCCTGGGAATGATATTAAAGCCGCCAACGTATATTCCGTGCACACGCTGTCTCGATTTTATCTATTCTATTCATTTATTTATTTCATTGGGACAGTGCACATGAATCAAAACAAGACTAAACAGCGTAAATGCGCCGGACCTAGCATAAATGCTAGTTTTCAGTCATAGTCCCAAACTATCTATTTCGTGGCCACAAATTAGCATATTTTTAAATCTGATGTACCCCCAATTTATTATTTTTTTAATCCCATGCCATGGGCTCTCTATACACAACCTCGTGAAGCCGTATAATGAGGTGCAATGTTGTAGCATGATGAGTGAACAAAATTCTCTTACATTGGTCAAGAGGTTCCATTTTGTCTGCGCGGGTGTGCAGCTTTTCCGGAAAACTGAAAGAATCACAATTATTTATTATTCTTATTATTGTTTACGGTGCCACAAAGGCCATCTTGTCTGTGATGAGTAAGTGCGTGCGTGTGTGTGTCTGAGTGTGTTACAATGCAATAGATCTTTATTAATATGGAGCAGCTGTATCAAAGCGCTTTACGGACCATTTAACGTAAAATAACAATCCAAGAGAAGAAAGACATCACTGAAAATAGAGATAATAATTGACGATTGAAGGGTTTAACGTGAAGCGCCCCCCCCCCGACAAAACATTAGGTACATCCGCACAAACAAAATCAATGCAAACGATTCAGCCGTGGCATTGATCAAATTTACTTCTGCGGGGTTGTCATTTTGGTTGAATACGTTAGCATGATTTATAGTATTGTACAACTTAAGTATTTATGTTTGTATTTTTTTTTTTTTTTTTTTACAACACCACTTTTAATCCCCGAAGGTCGACGAATCTTTATTTAGAAATTCCTTACTGTTTATTTATTTATTTTTTTTGATTATATTTTTACATATGTAAATAATTTTTTTTTTTTATATACCCAATGTCTCGCCCCAAAACAAGCATTTTTTTTGTGAAGTCATTTTCTATCGTGCTTTTTTTACGTTGCAAATTTGAATCCCGGAAGGCAAATTCACTTCAGTGTAAATTCCACTTAATTTTTTTTTCGTGTCATTGTATAAAATACCAGTGTGACGTTATGTCATTGTTTTGTAAATTTTTTTAACTTCATTACAATTAGCGAAGGAGATGATCCTTATGTTTACCCCTTGTGGCCATTTTAGCTTATCACTGAATTTATTTTATTTTCATGAGATGTATTTTTCGCAAATTTGAATTCCTGAAGAAAATGAACTTGGATACAAATTCCACTCCTTTTTTTATTTTTATTTATTTTTTTTTGCGATTTTACTTTAAATAGCTTCATGAAAGCATGCCATTATTTTTTGCACTTTAATTATGTACTGTATAAATCACGGGTGTCAAACTCATTTTTTGTTGCGGGCCGCTTCAGAGTTATGGCTTCCCTTGGAGGGCTGGTGAAAAAATCTCAATGTTATTTATTACCCATGAAAATTTCGGTACAGAATTCAACAAGAATCATGATAGTTGACACACATGATTTGCTCCCGCGGGCCATATAAAATGACATGGGGTACCAGATCTGGGCCCCGGGCCTTGACTTTGACACCTGTGGTATAAATGATGGAATCATAACATTGCGTCAAAACTAAGCAGGATCACCTTTCAGGCAGAATATACACAAGGCTGGTACATCGGATTGCATTGTGTGGGTGTACCTAATAATGTGGGTGTGCAGAAGGTCGACGCACCTGTCCAGGTGCTCTCAGATAATTTTGGTGGGTTGTTTTTAAGAAACTTTTTTTTGGTATCATTTTATGACATCATCATTGACAGTATTAAGACAAAACAGCGAGCCATTTCCCTCCCCATTGCCTCATTGTGCGAAATCGCTGATCATAGCACAGCATGTTTTTATTTCATTTTTGATAAATATTTTCTCGTCACCTTGCAGTCATAATTGTTGTTGTTGTTTTTTATTTTTTTGGAAACATTTATTTATTAAGGGACTGTTTACCGGCGCACTGACTTTGAGGCCCTTCTACTGTGTTTCCCTCCTTTTTGTTTTCCCTTTGCGCCTTAATTTGGACAGTCGAGCACAACGGTGGTCTCAGGGGAAGACGTGTGTGTGTGTGTGTGTGTGTGTGTGTGTGTGTGTGTGTGTGTGTGTGTGTGTGTGTGTGTGTGCGTGTGTGTGTGGATGTGTACGTATGACTGTATATGTTGTCTCTGCTGTCAATCAAGTGGGATTTGCCATCACATAGGAAGTTAGAAGGCCGGTTTAGGAGACCTGACCAGTCGGCTGGTTTGAATTGACCTCATGTTTTGTGCCATTGGACTCGTTACTGAAGTGACAAGATTTGCCTGCTAATCAGTAGCCCCTCTCACATAACCTGGAAAAGACGTCTTATTTTTTTTTTTCCCCCCCCAGTGTCTCTGTTCAGGAGAAAGTGACACAAAGTGTTGGGGGAGTCCAAAGTCAACACGACAATTTTGGACGTTTCAAAAGAAAACATTTCGGAGCTGTAATTGCAAGACCGTGGTGTGACAGTTTTGGACTCGATATGAAAGGAGAAGGCACGTGTAACGGATATTTATGGAGGGAAGTGGTCAAGCACACCCCAAAAAAGGCCATCCGCCAAAATTATTGACACTTGTGGTATGAAAACATTTTAGGGGGACTTGATGATAGAGAGGGTTTTTTTTTTGTTGTTTTTTAATCATAAAAAATTTAATAAACTCGGTACAGGGTTCTAATCAAGAGCGAGAGGGATGGTGCTGGAGCACTACTAGGGTGCGCCCAGGATTTTTTTTTTTTTAATGTCAGGTCTTCTTTTACAGCTCTGATGTGACAATTTTATATATATAACAGAGTAATGACAACATTGAATAGAATATATATATATATATATATAAAACTTTTGGCTCCTCTGATGCAGTAATTTGCAGGATGTCAATGTGAAAGAGGCTCTTGACGAGCTGACGTTTGTGGGATTTTTGTTTGTTTGTTTGTTTGTTTGTTTTGGGGAAGTGGATGCGTGTTTTAGATGCCAACGCTCATTTTTATGTTTTTATTCTTTTATGGAATTGTGTGTGTGTGTGTGTGTGTGTGTCAAGTTCCTAAAATGGCACTGTTCATCATCATGATAAGAACATATCAACTCCTGGTGTAGCAGGGAGTTTGTGATGTAGTTCAATTGTACATAAATGAATGTTTTTTTTTCCCACCTATGTAAATGAAATCAGATAATCTTATGGAGCAGACTTTTTTTTTTTGTAATTAATGTTGCTACGTGTTTAATGGATGTGATGGCACGCGTGTGCGAGCATTAAAATGAACCCTGTGGCCATTTTTCTGCTTTCTCTACATGTGTTTTCCATCGCGCCGCAATCAAAAGACACAGTCAGGGGAAAAGGGCGGCGCGATGCGCTCCACGGGGACGCCGCCCCGTAATTATGCCTTAACCTCTGCACTACCCTTATATATATCACTTCCTTACACGAGGAAGTGACGCTTCCTCGTGTAGCGTTCCATTACTGACCAGACGTGTTCAGTAAAGATTTTTTTTAAAAAAGAGCGTCGTTTCGGTTTTTGAAAAAATCGGTTTTCGAACAGCCTTCTAGAACGGATTATGGTCGAAAACCGAGGTATGACTGTATATATATATATACACACACACACACACACACCATTTGACGCAGCGTACTGTGAAATCCTTCCATTTTAAAAGTTAAAAAAAAAAAAAAAAGCAAAGTAAAAGCCCCATTAAATATTTTTTTCCAAATGTTTTAGAAATTTACAAAAGTCTTGATAACTAAAACAACTGTCGTCAAGCAGCGGCGAGCACACGAACGAACAAGGCCGTGTCTTTGCAAGCAGACGAGAACCCCCGTGGAGAAGCTTTGCCCATGGAACAGCTGTCAAGGCCAGACAGGAAATGGACTTACACGACGTTGGCGTCACTTAATACCCCCGCTGGCACGGCCGGGTGTTAATTTATGCAGGATTATGGTAATTAGCCGACACACCACCACAATGCCGTGAAATGTAGAAAAAAACCCCACAAAACTTTATTTGAGTCCCGCGTGACCTCTTGCTCGCCACAAACATTGCACTGTATGAAAAGAAATCACATAAGAGGGCGTCGTGTCGTCACATTATCTATACACGTGGTCCTATTGTACATGAATATGCTTCTTTTTGGCTGTCTTTCTCCAAAAAAAATAAAAATAAAACAGCGTGAAGAAACCTGTAGTGTTATCATCCAGTCCACTGGCCCGACCTGCTACATTTTTTTTTTCATCAGGAATATGTCCCTTACGTGGGCATTAAAGTAAAACGACATAACCGCTAAATGACAAACTATAGTGTAACATGAACTACAGTAGTAAATACGTTGATGCCAAGAGCAAAAAATTTTAAAAAAAAAATCATAAAATGAAATAAAAAGTCTGTTAAGACATTGAGATCCATCAGGACCTGAAACGTGTTCGGATGACAGATGTAAGACAGGTAGCATTTGTCCCATTTTTTTGTGTTTGTTTTGGTCCCAGGGGTGCAAATAAGATACAAATATGAAATGGATAAACATCTTCGAGCCAAGGCACGGTGATACTGTTGTTTTTGTTATTAAAAAAAACAAAAAAAACAAAAAAAACAATTTGATTGGTTTCAAAAACATGAGAGGGCTTGTTCACAGTTTGTCAATGTGGGGTCCCCCCCGCCCCCCTTTTAGGAGACTAACTGTTTGGCCTGCAGCTCCATCTCGGCGGCCCGCTTCAGGGCCACGTCCACCAGGAGCTGGAAGCCACTGAAGTCCTGCGTGAGGTCCGGCGGGGTCGGAGGAGGGGTGTTGAAGAGCCCGCTGCGGGGGCTCAGGTTTCCCTCCAGGATGGTGCCGGTACTTGTGGTGGCGCCGGCGGGGAGGTGGGCGCCCGCCCCTTTATCGAGACACCTGAGGAGCGCCTGCGCCGCCTGCAGCCGCTCGGCCGCCTTATCAGAGTTCAGCGACGACGGGTGCAAAGCGGTCGGGCTGGCGACGGTGGTGTGACAGATGACAGACGGCCGGGTGGGCGGGTTGCCCGACGAAGGGGACGTGCAGGTGGGCGACGCCGTCGAGGAGGAGGACGGCGACGCCGCCTTCCTCAGGACGCCGGCCGCGGCGGGCTCGAAGCAGGAAGGGTGCAGGACCCGTTTGTCGTAGCCGCCGTCGTCGTGGGTACCTCCGACCGGGCTGCTGCTGCTGCTGCTGCTGTGTTTGGGCGACTGGGAGCTGTCGGAGAAGCTGTCGCCGGCCTTGCCGCACTTCCTGGAGATGGTGAACTGGTTGGGGTCCTTGCCGTCTTTCCGCAACATCTCGGGGAGGAGGCGCCGGCGTGCGTTGATGAACCAGTTGCAAACCTGGAAAACGT